AGGACAGACCTTGGGAACGGAACTCGTTCTTAAATTGGGGGACTACCTGTATTAGATCCACAACATCCTCAGCCTTATCCCGGTGCTGGCCATTACAGGGAACCAGCTTAGTTTCAGGGAACTCTATATTTGCTGGTTTTATTGATTTTCTAGCACAGATACTACTTTTAGCTTTCAAAGTGTTTGAGGCAATAATTAAAAAAAGAGAAAGTAGCACCAAAACCTCCATAACTAAAATAGATCATGAATAGAAAAGAAGGCCAGGCTTGTACAGGGTTCGTTGTGCTTCAGTTCAACTGAACACTGAGGGAAATTCTTTATCCAGCTGAAATTAAAGCAATCCTAAATATGCATTACACTGTAGTCTGAACATACATACAGTGCTCAGACAGGTATGCTGAAATTTAATTTAAGAACTGCACAAGAATCTAATACTTGCCTGATTCAGTTGAAAAATAGACAGTAAATCACATTTGGTGCACATTTTACTGAACCAGTAGCTTTTGGTGAAAAGGATCAAGTGTTCCAGTTTCATGCAAAGTTTCAGAATATTCAGTCACTTTTGCCAGCAGACACTGGACTAATCAAATGAATCAATTTCTTTATCTTATATCCTTTAATTTAAAGATACAAAACATGTTCACCATCCAAACTCAGAGTACAGCCCCCAGACCCTTTCTAAAATTTGCTACCAACATGTAATTTTTAATGTGACGTTAATTAAAAAGCATTAAATACACATGAATAATTAGGTTAATTGGATTTAATTATAATTACATTTAAATTGAATCAGATTTGGGGGGGTCCCTTCTGGGCCTACCCGTTTTTAAGAGTACTGTATGACCCACATTGGTATACCACTTAATACTAAGTGTAACCCTTGGACCAAAAAATTTTCCACCTTCAGAGCCTTACCATAATTTTGAAGGCTTGTAAAAAACCCTATAGAGAAATTTACCTTACTAATTTTGGCAATAAAATACATTTAAGTACATTCAGTCAGTTATTAAAAATATCTCCAGTTAGTGTTCTGAATTCAATCACTGGAAAAAAAAAAATTGAGCACTTCCATTTCATGTTCTAATCCTAGAAGAAAACTTGCAAGTCAGCCCATGAGCTTTACTTTTGTTTGTTTTTAAAATATTTGGTAAACTGAAGCTGGTATCCTAGTTGACGAAAGTTGACCATCTTTGGAGGGGGTCCATCTCAGGGTGGGAAAAATCTAACATCCATGACACGGCTGCAGTGGTACAAATACCTTTTGGTCTTGAGTTCTGTCTCCCAGTTTGCAGGCTGTTCTCACATGGGCTAGAATCGCCTTTGTAATTATGAATACAATTACCATATCCCTTGACTTTTTGGTTAATTACTAGAAGGGATCTTGGTGAGAGGATTTTAAAAACCGCTAGTGGTTTGGGGGTTCTGTTGTTATTGTTTGACTGTGACTCCATTTAGAGTTCATCATTCATTCATTTCCTTGCATCAATGACATAAAGAGATGGATTTTGGAGAACGACTCTAAAGTTAGGATCCTAAGAAATCTATAAACCAAATTTAATTAATTCCCCATCTTAATTTTATACCAAAAATTGGTAAACTTATCTAAGACCACACAAATTCTCAGTCCATCCAGGAGCTCAACTAAAATCAGCAAAATTACATATATGTGTCTGTATGAGAGATAAGTGCCGTGTTCTTAGTCATTTGGACTAGAGAAGAGGACTTCCAGCTATTCTTCATAGATTCTCAGTCATTGAGAATGTATGACTTGGGAACATTTGGGGTATATGATTGAATATAGTATACAAGGTGAACAATGATTTCACTATGTACCATATTTGGTATCACTGAGACACATTGTCCTTAATGGCTTTAGCCTTTAAAAAATGCCAACACTCAAGCAGGGAAACTTTCAACATTACACCCATAGAGCACTTAGACAGGAAACAAGTAGGAAACTTCATAGCTGTATAGGCAGAGACCTCTTTTAGAATGATTTCACAGACATAAGTGTGGACAGAGCTGCAATTTTAACTTCTGAAGAGAGCTATCATAAATCCCTAAAAGAACTCTTACCAAACTTAAGAAAATGTATTTCTGAGGAAACATGCATTGGACTGCACTGTTAAAGATATGTTATTTTCCCCTTTGATATTCCTTAGAACCAGCTCTGAGAAATGAAATTCAAAGGGTTTCTCCCCAAAGCAATGAGTTGGAGTGTTTCTGTTTTCAAATCAGGGCCTACATACTTTGCCAATAATGCTCAATCCAAGATTAAGTTTGCAAATGGTTTAATTATATCATGGCATGCAAAAAGAATTTTTTAGCGGTGTAGTTTTTGAGGATAATACCAAAAGTACTGTGGTAAATTTCACTACAGAAATAAAATTCTTCTGCTTTGAAAAAAATGTTTGCATTTAATAATGATAAAATTCAGGTATATATTCCTACTTGTTGAGTTGGATCCCAATATAGTCAGTGGGGCTTTAGTCATATCTAACTGAAGTCTCCCTGATTGCATGGGCCTGTTTTAAATATGACTTAATCGTGTCTTGAGATCCAGTCTTCAATAAACACCAACAAGAAGGCAAGATGATATGAAAGGCTGTGGGAGAAAGACATTTGAAAATATTAATATACCACAATTACTGTAATGTCTATAAATATTAACCCTTGTAAGCAATGTTCAACCTGGAATGAGGATGTAATAAGAAGACCTGTGGATTTAGCTCTAAAGAGCAAGAATGATAAACATACGTTTTCTGTTAAGGACTCACTGCAGCTTCTTTAGAAAATAGTCGACATGAGGCTTTCTAAAACCAGTAACTTAGTTTTCTAACAGAACATTCAATTAGTCCTATTTAATTGGTGCATGCATTTTAGAGCATTATGAATGATATTTAAAGCTGTTCCTTGCACATTTTACATTAACCACTAATGTTAATGCTCTTCGCCAAAGATAAAATTTCTAAACCAGCAAGAGACCTTGATACTTGGTTGTATAGTATGTTTACTAAACAAATACGTACACAAAACCTCCTCACGGTTTTGATACTGCTCAGAGTCACATATTAATCCACAGTACTTGTACCAGGAGATTCACTTAGTACCAGAATATGTTATATGAATAAAATGGTTGCTTGGTGTGTGTTTACTGTGCAGTTTTTCTTAACACATACTTAAGCATGTTTTTAAAAAATGAACCCAGTAAGATTCTTTTTTTTAGAAAAGCTGTTTTAATTTAAAAAAAAAAAACTAAACCAACATAGACATAGAATTATATTAAGGCATATGCAATGTCAACCCATGTATTTTTAACTAAAAGTTCTTACTATATGACTCTGACATGGAATTCAACTACAGTATTAAATGTTTATTGTAGTGTTTCTCAACCTTGGCTACTTTAAGATGTGTGGACTTCAACTCCCAG